TGCAGTACCAGAAGCAGCCAGAAGCTCACAATCAGCCAAACCTGGGGCTGATTACAGAAAGGTGTATATAAGGCATGACCAGGCCTGTGCTCTGGTCCGTGGTGTATGGTTTCCCATGAGCCCCTGTATCCTGTTCCTAGTTCCTGTGAGAAGATACCTTGTTGCCGACCCTGCCTGATCCTGATTCCTGTTGACCGTCTCCTGTTCTGACTACTGGCTCATCCCTGACCATCCCTGACCATCCTTCTGCCTGATCCTCTGTACTGCGCTGTCCGTGAGTTCCTGAACCCGGCTTGTGACCTTGACCATTCTTGCCTGCTCCTTTGATACCTTGCTGCCCGCACGTTGCTGACTTGGCCCGTCTGACCACGCTCACTACTCTGCCATCCATCCATCCTGCACGGATCCAGCTGTACCTGCACGTACCTCTGGCGGATCCCTCTATCACTAGCAGGTGTACTCAGGGGCCGCGACCTGGTTCCTGTCTGCTCCAAGTCCATCCCCACCATCAGGGGCCCTGGTGAATAGCAGACTGGGACTTAGACTCCGCGCCCTGGGGAATCCTGCCCTGAGGACCGCTAGAGGTACCACCAGGCAGTCGTTACAGAACCCTACGGCCGGCCTGACCATTCCACCTCTCCAGCCCTGACTACGCCTGTGTTCCTGCACCTCCTAAGATTAGTGGAAGGTTAGTTTGCTCACTGTGCGTTTATATATATATCTGGGTGGCTAATAACCTGTATTATACTATACCTGAAACCTGCGTTTCCCTGTGTCAGTCCACACCTTTCTGGTCACTCCTTGATTCCTGACACGGTAGGAGAGGAGGACAGAACTCCTCCTACAGATCCTGCACCTCTCTGTGCAGCCGCAGCACCCCCTTGTCTCCACCCCCACCTTGTCTCAGCAGTCGGTAGCAGAAAGGAAGATGGGCATTGGATCTGTAGGAGGAGTTCTGTCCTCCTATCTGCTATGGACTGCTGAGACAAGGTGGGGGCAGAGATAAGGGAGTGCTGTGGACGCACAGAGAGATGCAGGATCTGTAGGAGGAGTTCTGTCCTCCTCTCTGCTATGGACTGCTGAGACAAGGTGGGGGCAGAGATGAGGGAGTGCTGTGGACGCACAGAGAGATGCAGGATCTGTAGGAGGAGTTCTGTCCTCCTATCTGCTATGGACTGCTGAGACAAGGTGGGGGCAGAGATAAGGGAGTGCTGTGGACGCACAGAAAGAACTCCTCCTACAGATCCAGTGCCTTTCTGTGCGTCCACAGCACTCCCTTATCTCTGCCCCCACCTTGTCTCAGCAGTCCATAGCAGAGAGGAGGACAGAACTCCTCCTACAGATTGTGTGCCTCCCTGTGCAGCCGCAGTACCCCACTCATTTCTGCCACCCCTGGTCTCCTGCAGCTGACTCCAGCCCTTTGCTGGTCCTCCTCTAGACCCTGCAATTTCTGCTTCCCAGGTTCATCCCGGCAGCAGCACAAGGTAAGTGGGGGGGGGGGGGGGGGGGGGGTGCACTGTGATGTAAGGGAATGCAGGGGACTCTCGACTCCTGAGGGGGCGCTCTGGACATCTAGTCTTACAGATACAACCAGCCCTTTGAGGGCCACCATAATGCTGATGCGGCCCGCGATGAGATCGAGTTTGACACCCCTGACATTTCACCCAGATTGGCTACTTGGAATTCCAGACATATGAAAGTCCGCCGGTTATATCGTATATCCGGGGCGGAGGGTTTCACACGGTGACCGGGTACAAAAAGATCGTCGATATAACCCCACCAACCGTTAGGAAACCGAACGCCCCAAAAATGACACTTTTCAAACAAAATTCCACCCATCTTTGGCCGGCATTAAAGCGCAACAGCTGAGATATCAGGAGGAGGGATCCTTATGCAGACTATGGACGGGTCGAAAACCGGCTGTTTTTTTATTAAAAAAATGAAAAATCTGTTGTTTGATCGGCCGCCATTACCACCAACGGTAAAAAAAAATCGGCCGTTTTTCGTCCCGTCTACAGCCGGCATTAACCCCATAATTACTTCTGTCCCTGCAGAGAGCTCCGATATTATATTTTATATGAAACGTCTGGCGGTTGCAACAATGTATCCATTTGTATCCATTTCATATACAGATGTTTTTATTTGGATACAAATGGATACATTGTTGCAACCGCAAGACTTTTCATATAAAATATAATACTGGAATTCTTCTTTTTCTTCCTCCTCCAGGTCACGGCTCATGCGCAGATTGTTTATCGGTAAGAAGATTGGCCGATTTGCCCATCATTGCCGGGAAAATCAGCTGATTGTCAAAATCAGCCACAAATTTTTCAACATGCCTGATAAAAAAATGTGCTAAAACCCGAAAAAAAACGGCCGAATAATGAACCCACTAACGGTGCGAAAATCGGCCGATTTTTTTTTTTTCGGACTAAAAATCGGCCAATTTTTGACCCGTCTATGGCCAGCATTATACATAAAATGGGGTGAAATCGGCCCATTCTGCGAGTTTTCCTCATTTGGTGCACTGCCCTGAAGCAGGCTCTCCTCCTACCCCCCAGCAGGCTCCCCTCCTACCCCCCAGCAGGCTCCCCTCCTACCCCCCCCCCCCCCCATAGAATCTTGGCGCAGCGGCCGGCAGTGAGAGGGTTAAGTTCCCTCCGGTGCCCCGGATTCCTCTCTCCCACACAGGATGTTCACATGACCTGAGACAAAGGGTTAAGGAAACACATGGAATCCATCATCAGGATTGGACGCCAGTGTCAGCGACATTCGCAGCCCCCCGGCACACAGCCCGCTGCTGGACGCAGGCAGATTAAAGGGTCATTCCGCTTCCGCAACAAAGTTATACCGTCAGGTGGAGCAATCACATACACAAGCGAGTATTTGTCTCTCATGGTGTTCCCTGCGCAGGCTCCTGAGGTATCCATCTCGCCGTTGGAAACCCGTAGCACTGATGTGGGAGGTGCACGTTGCTGTGCAGAGAGCTGACACTCTATTTCATCTGCCGTTCAATACACAAAGTCTGAGAATTCCTCTCTGGGAACAACTATCTGCGGATACTTCAAGAGCCGTACAGAGAGCAAGATTTATCACTCACAATTTTCATACAATTTTGTGCTGTATTAAAGGGCTAAACATATCAGAGAGGGGGGGATCTATCAGAGGGGAGGAGGGATCTATCAGAGGGGTGGTGGGATCTATCAGAGGGGTGGGGGGATCTATCAGAGGGGTGGGGGGATCTATCAGAGGGGTGGAGGGATCTATCAGAGGGGTGGGGGGATCTATCAGAGGGTGGAGGGATCTATCAGAGGGGAGAAGGAAGCTATCAGAGGGGTGGGGGGATCTATCAGAGGGGTCTATCAGAGGGGAGGAGGGATCTATCAGAGGGGTGGGGGATCTATCAGAGGGGAGAAGGAAGCTATCAGAGGGGTGGGGGGATCTATCAGAGGGATCTATCAGAGGGGAGGGGGATCTATCAGAGGGGTGGGGGGATCTATCAAAGGGGTGGGGGGATCTATCAGAGGGGTGGTGGGATCTATCAGAGGGGTGGTGGGATCTATCAGAGGGGTGGGGGGATCTATCAGAGGGGTGGAGGGATCTATCAGAGGGGTGGGGGGATCTATCAGAGGGTGGAGGGATCTATCAGAGGGGAGAAGGAAGCTATCAGAGGGGTGGGGGGATCTATCAGAGGGGGGTCTATCAGAGGGGAGGAGGGATCTATCAGAGGGGTGGGGGATCTATCAGAGGGGAGAAGGAAGCTATCAGAGGGGTGGGGGGATCTATCAGAGGGATCTATCAGAGGGGTGGGGGATCTATCAGAGGGGAGGAGGGATCTATCAGAGGGGTGGGGGGATCTATCAGAGGGGTGGGGGATCTATCAGAGGGGTGGGGGGGTCTATCAGAGGGGAGAAGGAAGCTATCAGAGGGGTGGGGGAGATCTATCAGAAGGGTGGGAGGGATCTATCAGAGGGGTGGGGGATCTATCAGAGGGGAGGAGGGATCTATCAGAGGGGTGGGGGGGTCTATCAGAGGGGTGGGAGGGATCTATCAGAGGGGAGGAGGGATCTATCAGAGGGGTGGGGGATCTATCAGAGGGGAGAAGGAAGCTATCAGAGGGATCTATCAGAGGGGTGGGGGATCTATCAGAGGGGAGGAGGGATCTATCAGAGGGGTGGGGGGGTCTATCAGAGGGGTGGGAGGGATCTATCAGAGGGGAGGAGGGATCTATCAGAGGGGTGGGGGATCTATCAGAGGGGAGAAGGAAGCTATCAGAGGGATCTATCAGAGGGGTGGGGGATCTATCAGAAGGGTGGGAGGGATCTATCAGAGGGGAGGAGGGATCTATCAGAGGGGTGGGGGGGTCTATCAGAGGGGTGGGAGGGATCTATCAGAGGGGAGGAGGGATCTATCAGAGGGGTGTGGGGATCTATCAGAGGGGAGAAGGAAGCTATCAGAGGGGTGGGGAGATCTATTAGAGAGGTGGGGGGATCTATCAGAGGGGAGAAGGAAGCTATCAGAGAGGTGGGGGGATCTATCAGAGGGGTGGGGGGATCTATCAGAGGGGTGGGGGGATCTATCAGAGGGGTGGAGGGATCTATCAGAGGGGAGAAGGAAGCTATCAGAGGGGTGGGAAGATCTATCAGAGAGGTGGGGGGATCTATCAGAGGGGAGAAGGAAGCTATCAGAGAGGTGGGGGGATCTATCAGAGGGGTGGGGGGATCTATCAGAGGGGAGGAGGGATCTATCAGAGGGGTGGGGGGATCTATCAGAGGGGAGAAGGAAGCTATCAGAGGGGTGTGGGGATCTATCAGAGGGGTGGGGGAATCTATCAGAGGGGTGGGGGAATCTATCAGAGGGGTGTGGGGATCTATCAGAGGGGAGAAGGAAGCTATCAGAGGGGTGGGGGGATCTATCAGAGGGGTGGGAGGGATCTATCAGAGGGGTGGGAGGGATCTATCAGATTTGAGGGTGACAGACCGGGACTTGGGGTCACTTACGCTCCGCTGTGCCGGCTGGGGCCGCATTACTTCGAGGCTTTTTGGTTTTCTTTATTTCTGTTTTTCCGGAAGTATCTGAAACAGAAGAAATATCAGCCATGAACACAGTGGAGGAGGAGGATACAGAGCCGCCATCGCTGTGGCCCCCGGGGGACATCAGTTAGCGGTGGGCGCAGTGAATGGGGCAATAAAACAGGTCACAGACAACAGCAGAGCCAATATAGAGTCTTGGTGTACTCTGGCCCACGGGCGAGCGTCACATTGGGGGGATTTACTAAAACAGAATAGTAAGTTACATAGTAACCAATCAGCTTCCAGGTTTTATTGTCAAAGCTGACACCAGAAGCTGATTGGCCGTCATGCATCGCTGCTCCAGATTTTGCACTCTCCAGTTTTAGTAAATCCCCCCCGTTGTGCGCCCCACGGGAGTATGTGTCACCCCTTATAAGACCGCACGTAACCCCGCTGCTGGGGCCAGAAAATGTCTATCTGGGGCCCAAGAAGACTCTAATAATCGTAAAATCCTCACCTATGATGAGTGCCGGGCCCACGCACACTACAAGCCAACGCTTCCGTCTGATTGGTCCACCATGGCGGCACGTGAGGCAATATTTATGATCGAAGTCCGGGATACCCAGATCAAAGTCGATGCTGAGATACCCAGACCAGACCTAGCGGTGTTGGTGTAATTTGACTGAATTCTATGACTTTACCATTTTTTAGATGTATTTTTTTACGATCGCCCTATAGCAGAAGTACTGCTACATGGTGGCAGGGATGCGCAAAATCACGTATATACAGTGCAGGAAATGTGTATTTGCTCCCCCCTGATGCTGAATGTTCGCCCCTCACACAGAAATGATCGGTCTAACAATGGAATGTTCGCCCCTCACACAGAAATGATCGGTCTAACAATGGAATGTTCGCCCCTCACACAGAAATGATCGGTCTAACAATGGAATGTTCGGTGTAACACTGAGAGACAGAATACAACAACAAATTCAGCAGAAATGCGTCTAACAAATGATGACGGATCTGCATGTTCATGAGGGAAAGAAGGATTTGATCCCCTTCACAAAACATGACTTAGTACTTGGTGGCCAATCCCTTGTTGGCAATCACAGAGGTCAGACGTTTCCTGGAGTTGGCCCCCAGGTTCGCACACATCTCAGGAGGGATTTTGGCCCACTCCTCTTGGCAGATCCTCTCCAAGTCATTAAGGTTTGATGGCTGACGTTTGGCAACTTGAACTTTCAGCTCCCTCCACAGATTTTCCATCGGATGAAGGTGTGGAGACTGGCTAGGCCACTCCAGGACCTCAATGTGCTTCTTCTTGAGCCGCTCCTTTGTTGCCTTGGCCGTGTGTTTTGGGTCATTGTCATGCTGGAACACCCATCCACCACCCATTTTCAATGCCCTGGCTGAGGGAAGAAGGTTCTCACCCAAGATTTGAGGGTACATTGCCCCGTCCATCGTCCCTTTGATGCGGTGCAGTTGTCCTGTCCCCTTAGCAGAAACCCCCCCCCAAAGCAGAATGTTTCCACCACCATGTTTCACAGTTGGGATGGTGTTCTTGGGGTCATAGGCAGCATTCCTCCTCCTCCAAACATGGCGAGTTGAGTTGATGCCAAAGAGCTGGATTTTGGTCTCCTCTGACCACAACACTTCCCACCAGTCCTCCTCTGCATCATTCAGATGTTCAGTGGCAGACTTCAGACGGGCCTGGACATGGGCTTTCTTGAGCAGAAGGACCGTGCGGGCACTGCAGGATTTCAGTCCTTGTCGGCGTAGTGTGTTACCAATTGTTTTCTTGGTGACTGTGGTCCCAGCTGCCTGGAGATCATTGACAAGATCCTCACGTGTAGTTCTGGATGATTCCTCACTGTTCTCATGATCATTGACACTCCACGAGGGGAGATCTTGCATGGAGCACCAGACCTAGGGAGACTGACACTTGTTTTGTGTTTCTTCCATTTGTGAATGATTGGACCAACTGTTGTCACCTTCTCACCAAGCTGCTTGGCCATAGTTTGGTAGCCCAGTCCAGCCTTGTGTAGGTCTACCATCTTGTCCCTGACATCCTTGGACAGCTCTTTGGTCTTTGCCATGGTGGAGAGTTTGGAATCTGATGGTTTGATGGCTCCTGTGGACAGGTGTCTTTTATACAGGTAACACAATGAGATTAGCAGCACTCCCTTTAAGAGACTGCTTCTAATCTCAGCTTGTTACCTGTATGAGAGACACCTGGGAGCCAGAAATCCTGCTGAATGATAGGGGATCAAATCCTTCTTTCCCTCATGAACATGCAGATCCGTCATCATTTGTTAGACGCATTTCTGCTGAATTTGTTGTTGTATTCTGTCTCTCAGTGTTACACCGAACATTCCATTGTTAGACCGATCGTTTCTGTGTGAGGGGCGAACATTCCATTGTTAGACCGATCGTTTCTGTGTGAGGGGCGAACATTCCATTGTTAGACCGATCATTTCTGTGTGAGGGGGTGAACATTCCATTGTTAGACCGATCATTTCTGTGTGAGGGGCGAACATTCCATTGTTAGACCGATCGTTTCTGTGTGAGGGACGAACATTCAGCATCAGAGGGGAGAGAATACGCATTTCCTTCACTGTATATTTGATTTGCATTTCCCTACCCGCAACGCTATTGGCTCCTCGGCATGTCAATCACTGGGCGCAGGGCTCGGTGATTGTCGGCGGAGCTGACAGTGGAGAGGTCTGTATGTAGACAACACAGGTCTCTCCCCTGTCAGCAAGGACATGCTGCTTTGTATCTCTCTGCACAGCATGTCTCCCTAGTAACACACACAGCACACAGTTAACCCTTTGATCGCCCCTCATGTTAACCCCTTCCTGCCCAGTGCCATTAGTACAGTGTCAGAGCTTTTTATTAGCACTGATCACTGTATTGGTGTCACTGGGGATGTCAGTGGCAGTTAGTCAGTTCCCCCACCAGTGTCAAAATGCCCGCCGCAGTCTCGCTCTAAGTCACTGATCACCGCCATTACTAGTAAAAAAAAATTCAAATATCTATCCCGCCATTTGTAGACGCTGTAACTTCCATGTAAACCGATTAATTTACACGTATTGGGATTTTTTTTAGCGAAGACACGGAGCGGAATACAAAAAAAAAAATTCAAAAAGTACCATTTTTAAAGGGGCAGTCATTTTTTATAGCTTAAAGTAAAAAAAAAATGTCTTTAAATATCATACCTGGGGGGTCCCTTTAAAATACCTGCAAAGCTGCACATCTGTACAATGTATAGACTGACTTTTTTTTTTTAATTACATTTTATATATATATATATATAAAAAAAAAGAAACCAGCGTGCCCCCCCCCCCCCCCCCCAATCCATAGCAGACCCCTTAGTTCTGGTAGGAAGGTTAGGAGGGACCCCACAGTAATTTTTTTTTTTAAAGTATGTGGGGTTCCCCCTAAGAGCCATACCAGGCCCTTTAGGCTTGCAAGGACTTTTAAGGGGAACTCCACCCACAAAAATGGTGGGGGGGGGGGCTGGGGGAGTGTGAGGTCACCCCTAAATTCCTACCAGACCCTTGATCTGGCAGGGTAGGAAATAGGGGGGTGGGGGGAGATTAAGTGCTCCCCTACCTGTAGCTTACCAGGGCACATGGGAAGGTGTCCCTATGCTGATGGGGACAAGGGTCTCTTCCCCACAACCCCGGCCCAGTGGTTGTGGGGGTCTGCGAGATGGGGGGCCCATTAGCATCAGGCTACCCCTTTAAAAAGGGGGGCGCCCTAATGCTGCCCCCCCCCCTCCCCTTGTGAATGAGTAAGGGGTACTTGTGACCAACCCATTCACTAAAGGGTTAAATGTAGTAAAAAAAAAAAAGGGACCGTTCTTTTGAAAAAACAAACGAGGATCTCGGAGGGACAACGCGGGACACGCAGGGTAGGTGAGTATCTGAAATGTGCAGAAGACAACAACCGGGTAAGTAGGGGGTTAAAGAAAAAACGGGGGTTGGGGGGAGGGGCTTAAGACATGCCTTAACTAATGTTTTTGTTTTTTTTTATAGGTTGCATTGTTTATTATCTAAGTCATGTGACCCCAGGCTGCGGGCCGTTTGGTTTCTGGTTTTATCCAGTCTGGCCCATGTATACGGTTTCCATTCTCAGGCCCTGATGAAGGGAGGTCTGTCCTCCGAAACACATTGGCTCTTTACTATAGTCCTCTGCTATGAATATATATATATATAAAAAAATTATTTTTATTTATTTCAGGTACTTATATAGCGCCGTCAATTTACGCAGCGCTTTTACATATATATCGTACATTCACATCAGTCCCCGCCCCCGAGGAGCGTACAATCTAAGATCCGTAACTCACATCAGTCCCCGCCCCCGAGGAGCGTACAATCTAAGATCCGTAACTCACATCAGTCCCCGCCCCCGAGGAGCGTACAATCTAAGATCCCTAACTGACATCAGTCCCCGCCCCTGAGGAGCGTACAAGCTAAGATCCCTAACTCACATCAGTCCCCGCCCCCGAGGAGCATACAGTCTAAGATCCCTAACTCACATCAGTCCCCGCCCCCGAGGAGCATACAGTCTAAGATCCCTAACTCACATCAGTCCCCCCGCCCCCGAGGAGCATACAGTCTAAGATCCCTAACTCACATCAGTCCCCGCCCCTGAGGAGCGTACAATCTAAGATCCCTAACTCACATCAGTCCCCGCCCCTGAGGAGCGTACAAGCTAAGATCCCTAACTCACATCAGTCCCCGCCCCGAGGAGCGTACAATCTAAGATCCCTAACTCACATCAGTCCCCGCCCCCGAGGAGCGTACAATCTAAGGTCCTTAACTCACATTCATACATACACATACTAGGGACAATTTGCAGAGGATCCAATTCACTTCCCAGCATGTCTTTGGAGGGTGGGAGGAAACCGGAGTACCCGGAGGAAACCCACGCAGGCACAGGGAGAACATGCAAACTCCAAGCAGGTGGTGCTGTGGTTGGGATTTGACCCAACGACCCGAGTACTGCCAGGCGGAGGTGCTAACCGTAATATATATCTGGGTCTTCCATGGATGTATTGATCTGTACTCCCCTGAGGAGGGCCGCCAAAGTCACAGGTGTGCCGCCGGCTGTCTAAGAAGGGGATTGGCTCGCTATGAAGAGATTTTCCTCTCATTTCCTGCTGAGTCTTCAGGATAGGAAGTGAAGGGAAACGGATCCGCTCAAACCCTTTTCTGCTCCACCCACAACTAAATTCAACACTTTCACCCGTATTCACCAAAAGGTGTAATTCACTCCATCATGACTCCACCTTCAGCTGAAATGTCAGCCTTATGTTCACATACCTCAGCATGATAACCTACCTTCTACAGCGACATTGCAGGAGCACTCCGCCTTCCCCGCTGAGTTCTCCGCGACACATTTATACTGCCCACCGTCCTCCGGGTACGTCTTCTCTATGGTGAGAGTGCACAGGGGGCCTGTATGGAGAAGATACAATGTGTCAGCTGATGTCACCACGATCGTTATTAATGAGATCGAATATATACAGAAGGAACATGCAGAGAACTCAGAGTCACGTCAGCCTCTGTACCAGAGGAGCTTACACTCTAATGTCCCCTCCCCCACAGTCCCATCAGTCTCTGTACCAGAGGAGCTTACACTCTAATGTCCCCTCCCCCACAGTCCCATCAGTCTCTGTACCAGAGGAGCTTACACTCTAATGTCCCCTCCCCCACAGTCCCATCAGCCTCTGTACCAGAGGAGCTTACACTCTAATGTCCCCCTCCCCCACAGTCCCATCAGTCTCTGTACCAGAGGAGCTTACACTCTAATGTCCCCTCCCCCACAGTCCCATCAGTCTCTGTACCAGAGGAGCTTACACTCTAATGTCCCCTCCCCCACAGTCACATCAGTCTCTGTACCAGAGGAGCTTACACTCTAACGTCCCCTCCCCCACAGTCACATCAGTCTCTGTACCAGAGAAGCTTACACTTTAATGTCCCCTCCCCCGCAGTCCCATCAGTCTCTGTACCAGAGGAGCTTACACTCTAATGTCCCCTCCCCCGCAGTCACGTCAGCCTCTGTACCAGAGGAGCTTACACTCTAATGTCCCCCTCCCCCACAGTCACATCAGTCTCTGTACCAGAGGAGCTTACATTCTAATGTCCCCTCCCCCACAGTCACATCATTTCTGTACCAGAGGAGCTTACGCTCTAATGTCGCCTCCCCAACAGTCCCATCAGTCTCTGTACCACAGGAGCTTACACTCTAATGTCCCCCTCCCCCACAGTCACATCAGTCTCTGTACCAGAGGAGCTTACACTCTAATGTCCCCTCCCCCACAGTCACATAATTTCTGTACCAGAGGAGCTTACGCTCTAATTTCCCCTCCCCAACAGTCCCATCAGTCTCTGTACCACAGGAGCTTACACTCTAATGTCCCCTCCTCCACAGTCACATCATTTCTGTACCAGAGGAGCTTACACTCTAATGTCCCCTCCCCAACAGTCCCATCAGTCTGTGTACCAGAGGAGCTTACGCTCTAATGTCCCCTCCCCCACAGTCCCATCAGTCTCTGTACTAGAGGAGCTTACACTCTAATGTCCCCTCCCCCACAGTCACATCATTTCTGTACCAGAGGAGCTTACGCTCTAATGTCCCCTCCCCAACAGTCCCATCAGTCTGTGTACCAGAGGAGCTTACGCTCTAATGTCCCCTCCCCCACAGTCCCATCAGTCTCTGTACCAGAGGAGCTTACGCTCTAATGTCCCCTCCCCCACAGTCCCATCAGTCTCTGTACCACAGGAGCTTACACTCTAATGTCCCCTCCCCCACAGTCACATCATTTCTGTACCAGAGGAGCTTACGCTCTAATGTCCCCTCCCCAACAGTCCCATCAGTCTCTGTACCAGAGGAGCTTACGCTCTAATGTCCCCTCCCCCACAGTCCCATCAGTCTCTGTACCAGAGGAGCTTACGCTCTAATGTCCCCTCCCCCACAGTCCCATCAGTCTCTGTACCACAGGAGCTTACACTCTAATGTCCCCTCCCCCACAGTCACATCATTTCTGTACCAGAGGAGCTTACGCTCTAATGTCCCATCCCCCAACAGTCCCATCAGTCTCTGTACCAGAGGAGCTTACGCTCTAATGTCCCCTCCCCCACAGTCCCATCAGTCTCTGTACCAGAGGAGCTTACGCTCTAATGTCCCCTCCCCCACGGTCACACACTCACTATGGGACAACTTTGATGATCAGATTCTCAGGAGGACACAAGGAGATGGAAGATTACAATGAAGATTGACTTTGTTACAAATGTTCCAAACAAGAATGTGAAATCTTTGGATCAGAAGTTCGTTGACATTGAACTGACAGTGCGGATCACGCGGGGATCAGACGACGCATTCTCACCCAGCTGCTGCCGCATTTCTAGTCCAGACCAAGCTAAGCCGCAGCCCATGGTGTCACTCTGCAAAGGTGTCGGGTTCAATGCGATCTCAGGCTCGGTGAGCACTTCTTGGAGGTCCATGTGAACGGACCGCAGTAACACAACGCACGTTGACGCGTCATAAAGAGTGTCAATACTTCCTCTGCAGGAAGGAAAAGATCGCTCCAGTTTTCATGCGATGGAATAAAAAGAAGCATGTGAGGGGGGCTCAGAGCATGTGAGGGGGGCTCAGAGCATGTGAGGGGGGGCTTAGAGCATGTGAGGGGGGGGCTCAGAGCATGTGAGGGGGGGCTCAGAGCATGTGAGGGGGGGCTCAGAGCATGTGAGGGGGGGCTCAGAGCATGTGAGGGGGGCTCAGTGCATGTGAGGGGGGCTCAGTGCATGTGAGGGGGGCTCAGAGCATGTGAGGGGGGGCTCAGAGCATGTGAGGGGGGCTCAGTGCATGTGAGGGGGGCTCAGTGCATGTGAGGGGGGCTCAGAGCATGTGAGGGGGGGGCTCAGAGCATGTGAGGGGGGCTCAGTGCATGTGAGGGGGGCTCAGTGCATGTGAGGGGGGCTCAGTGCATGTGAGGGGGGCTCAGAGCATGTGAGGGGGGCTCAGAGCATGTGAGGGGGGCTCAGTGCATGTGAGGGGGGGCTCAGAGCATGTGAGGGGGGCTCAGAGCATGTGAGGGTGGCTCAGTGCATGTGAGGGGGGCTCAGAGCATGTGAGGGGGGCTCAGAGCATGTGAGGGGGGCTCAGAGCATGTGAGGGGGGCTCAGTGCATGTGAGGGGGGCTCAGTGCATGTGAGGGGGGGCTCAGAGCATGTGAGGGGGGCTCAGAGCATGTGAGGGGGGCTCAGTGCATGTGAGGGGGGCTCAGTGCATGTGAGGGGGGCTCAGAGCATGTGAGGGGGGGCTCAGAGCATGTGAGGGGGGGCTCAGTGCATGTGAGGGGGGGCTCAGAGCATGTTAGGGGGCTCAGAGCATGTGAGGGGGGCTCAGCGTTCAATGCCCCCCGCGGAGGAGAACTGACGTAGAGACCAAGGGGGAGATTTACTAAAACTGGAGGGTGCAAAATCGGGTGCAGCTCTGCAGAGAAATCAATCAGCTTCCAGGTTGTATTGCCGAAGCTTCACTGGACAAGCTGCAGTTACCCCCCCCGCCCGCCCCCCCCTTGAACACATCAAACCATACTTTGAAATCCTGCGACTTGCAGTGAAGTCTCACGATTTCATAGTCAGGGGACACGCTGATTTCAGGGGCGATTTGCACAAGACATCGGACACAGATATCTATGCAAATCGCACCAAAAGTAGCGCATGGACCACTTTAGAAATCGGACCGAGTCAGAACCGCACCGATATGACCGCTCTAATGGCAATAGGCTGCGATATGCAAGTCGCATGGTATGCAAATCACATGCCAATTCGCACCCAGTGTGACCGGGAATCTTAGAAGCCGATTGGCTGCCATGCACAGCTGCAGCCGATTCTGAGCGCTCCAGGATTACTCCGGGTTCACACCGGTGCGTTTTTTTTTTCTTATTTCAGGTACTTATATAGCGCCATCAATGTACGCAGCGATTTACATATATATTGTACATTCACATCAGTCCCCGCCCCCGAGGAGCGTACAATCTAAGGTCCCTAACTCACATTCATACATACACATACTAGGGCCAATTTAGACAGGATCCAAATAACCTCTTTGGAGTGTGGGAGGAAACCGGAGTACACGGGGGAAACCCACGCAGGCACAGGGAGAACATGCAAACTCCAGGCAGGTGGTGCTGTGGTTGGGATTTGAACCAACGACCCGAGTACTGCCAGGCGGAAGTGCTAGCCACTGTGCTGCGTTTTCACTCGGTTCGTTTTCACCCGCTGTGTGTTGATTTTGGAAACGGTCAGGGACTTTTTTTTTACATGAAAAAAGTAACGTTTTTGTTTCTATAGACTTCAATGGAAATGCTGCAGAAAAGCATGTATTGCGTTTTTGCAGCGTTTTGTGTTTAAAATCTGCCTAGCAACAAGAAAAATGTAAAAATATGAAAAACGCATCTAAAACACAAGTGCAAAAAAATGCAACAAAAATGCAAAACGCAACTTCATACGTGTGCCCTAACTAGAGAGTTTCAGCAAGGGATAGTGCTAGTGCTATTGGAGTACTGCCCACACTAGAAAATGGCTGCATTGCAGGGGTCACCAGGGCCACAGCACTTACAATGAACCGAGCTGATACCTGAAATCAGACACAGCTGGAGGGGGCTGGAGGGCACCCACAATGGGATGAACAGGGTTTCCTCTGCGCCAATACGCCCTAGTCTGTCTGTCCCTCCTCCCATGCCCACTGGGGGGGTTTTGTCCCACTTGCACATGCCATGCAGGCCAACTGAATGGGGACAGTGCTATCCATTGGCACTGCTACACACTAAAAATGGCCCACAAGCAGGGCCCATCCAATCAGACAGCTGCTCCCCTGTTGCCCTATGGAGCCCTCAGAACATGGCTTCCTCTCACAAGCATTGTTCAATGCTGCGCCATTCATTGTGAATGGGACTCCCAACCCACCTCGCTGGCAGATGCGTTACTTGCATATACACACATGCACCTGGGCTGATCTAGCCTGTCCAATGCGGGGGGGTGCAGGAAAAATGTCAGCGGGGCAGAGGATAGGGGTCACTGGTGGCAGGGCAGAGGATACGGGGGTCACTGGTGGTGGGGCAGAGGATAGGGGTCACTGGTGGGTGGGGCAGAGGATAGGGGTCACTGCTGGCAGGGCAGAGGGTAGGGGTCACTGGTGGCAGGGCAGAGGATAGGGGTCACTGGTGGCGGGGCAGAGGATAGGGGTCACCTGGCGGGGCAGGACGGGGGTCACTGCTGGGAAGGGCAGAGGACGGGGGGTCACTGCTGGCGAAGGGCAGAGATAGGGGTCACTGGTGGCGGGGCAGAGGATAGGGGTCACTGGTGGCAGGGCAGAAGATGGGGTCACCACCGCTGGCAGCAGGATACGGGGTCACCGCTGGCAGGGCAGGCAGTCACCGCTGGAGGGC